TTATTATTATTAGAGGGGGTGGGTTTCCCCATGCCCTTAGACCAGTTATTGGTCACCCTTTAATTTTTACTGTCACCATGCCCTACCGGTACTGGTGCCTGCTATCAGTCCCGTTCAGCCAACGAGATCGGCTGTCGGTACCTGATATTTCCCCCATCTACCAGAGGCATTGGAAACTACTTGGGCAGGAAATTGTTGCCTAATTTTTCTCAGAGGTCTCCTAGAGACATGAGGATCTTTTACGTGCTGTAAACCTATGACACGGTACCCACAGCTTAAAGTCCCTCCCGGAGGACTTGTTCCCTGAATTTTTCCGCCCTTAAAAATTCCACGACCTCTGCCGGGTTTGAACCCGCGTACCTTGAGTCATGAGGTGGGAACGTTACACCTAGATTATGGAGGCCACTTAGAGGTCAGTTAGTTATGGTCTCACAAAATATTAATCTGGCCCTGTTGGTACTCCCTACATTTTTCAAATTAATTATCAGGAGTGAGAACTGAAATTATCACAGAGTCCAGAACCAAGACCCACATTGTAATCCTACACTATCAAGTGGGTGTGTTAAGCTGACTACGGTCTTCATGTTCTCTATAATTCTTTATCTCTATAGAACGGACTACACTGCATACATACCACACCCACAAGCAGAGCTTCCACGCAGCACGATCTGGAAGAGCCACAGCTGTCAGAACGGTGGCAAGAAGAGCAGAAAGAATGCGAATTAGAATAGGCACCCAAAACTCCTCCACACCTCCCAAGACTGAGAACTTCCAGCTGCGTACAGTGGACACAGTCCAAGAGTCCTCTCCTGGCACACCTACAAGGCACCCACAAATATGGCAGTTGTAGTCACATATCCTTTGACTCCAAAACAGTTATTCAAAAAAATCCAGGAATATGTAACTGTCACCAAAAAATCGTAATTTGACCCTGTTCTATGCCAGTTATTTCTGTGAGATACATTTCAGTGGTATTCTCCCTTCTATAACGTAAATTTCCAAGTGATCTATTTCCATAAAATTTCCTACCAACACTTAGTAATACTGTGTTCCAAACACTTGGATCACCTTACTGCCATTGATTAAACTACCAAAACAACCCCAGAGAAAGAGTTCAAATCTGAAAGAACCTTTGTATGTAATTTAATCGACTTGCTACAGACATTATTCATACCAAACCAAAAACTATAAATGGAAATAACGAGCTTCCTCTATGAGTTAGTAGAACGGCACATTCAAGGTGTCCTGATTGCATATCTTTGCCTGAAGACCCAACTCACCTTGACTCAGATTTTTTGTGGTTTTACTTAGTTCCTTCAGGCAAATCTTGGTGTAGTCACTCAAGTTATAATATGACCATTCCCTTCCACAACCTTTCAAGTCCATTATTCACTACTTATCTTATTGTCATTGGGAACTATTGACATCGTCACTATTAAAGTGAAATAAATGAAAGTGCTCACAATAACACTTTACCTTGAAATGTGACAAGCAAGAGGTATGCTGCAGTTAACACTGTGTTGGTCCAACTATCATAGAGTACACTTGCATAGAGAGAGACAACACTTGTAATGAACAATATATTCCAGGCTCTTTTCTGCAAATAACAAGCATAGTGTCATGTGCCAAGAGTGACAAAAGTTTATGAACTAAATAATAAGAAAATATCTAGATTTCAGAGTGATGAATTTGGTAGACAGTGCAAGATGATACATGACAAGAAACTTTGTTATTTAAGTAGGCCACAGTATTGATAAGACAGTGAAATCTAGGAGGTTGTGAGAGTTGGATGGATGATTAAAATGGGAGACAAAGAATACATGGACAATTCTTATGGGAAAACCTCCAGTGAAGTAGCCTGTATTGAGGTGAACAAGGGCATGGGCACTAACATAAAGATGCATTTAGAAAAATATGTGTAGACTTCAAGCGTGGAAGATCAGTGGGAACTGGGAGAGGATTGTGTCAAAAGGCACAGTTTTGTATTAACAGCATTTCATATGCAGATTCCACTAACAGAAAATTATAGTAAACTTTAAAAACGTTTGACTCTCAGGGTTGACCACACACAACTTCTGTCGGTTGGGGCAAAAGGATCACTTTAACATGCCTAGAAGGTTCAAATCAGTAGCAGATATGTGTTCAAAAGTTGCCATAATGGAAATTGCTCCAGTTAGAATGTATATATGGTAACAAACTTTATAAGAAAAACTGTAACAACTTGGTTTCTAAGGTGACTTTTTTTAATTGCTAGTGGGGTGGGACTAAGTCCCTTGTACTGCAGCCACTTCTGGCCTATTGTACCAGTCCCAGATGATAGGTGAGGGTGATTGTGGAGCAATTGGTGGAATAAAGATTGGCAGGGGAAACTGAAGTACTCGGAGAAAACCTGCTCCAGCGCCCTTTTGTCCACCATAAATCCCACTTCACCAGACCCAGGATCGAACCCGGGCCGCTGCTGTGGGAAGCCAGCGACTAACCGCTTGAGCTATGGCACGGCCTTGAGGTGACTAAGTATGATTTGAACAGTTGTGATTCAGGTTGTCACAGTACACTTAGGAGTTTAGTCTTCACATCCACAACTAGAACAACTTTGTAACAATTTCAGCCTCCTCTCTATTCACTATTGTTGCTAGTTTTCTGAGGATGAAGCAACCAGAGCGTGAAGCTGACCTCTGGTTCACCAATGCCATGTGGGAAAACAAATTTTAAAGGGTGCTGACAATGCTGTATAACACTCAGAACTACTGGGTTTTTTACTTTTTCCATTGTCTGGTATCCTGGATACTAGAAAACATGACGTTTACCAGTGATTAAGGTTAGCTCTTTCTAAGGGACCCAACTGAGTAGGAGTCTCCCCCTCACCCGAGAATGGAAACAATGTAGTTCCAGAAATGTCATGTTTTCTATTCTTTAAAATGTCAGACGATTGAAAAAGTCCAAAAACTCAGTAATTCTGACTATATTGGAAAGTTTTAATAGTCAGGGAACTTCTAATTTTATTATGTTCTGCAGTAGGAACTCCTCTTTTTATACCAACTACCCAATCATTACATCTAGTAATGAAAATATACAGGTTTCAAGAAGCTCTTCTAAATAATTATTTTTCATAAAATGACAGTTCGTTACAGTGATGGAAAGTTGTGCTTACTGGTAGAAACATTGCTGTCTACAACCAGCATGTGTGCACCCATGACCTCACCCAGTATCATTACAGTATTATTTTGTAGAGATATTAGTTGTGGGTTGACAAATAAAGTTTAATTGTCTATACTCATATGTGTATGCATGTGTGCAAGTAAAGTAGTAATTTGCGTACTTAGTAACAAACAAACTAACTGTACAGGGGAGCAGAGTCATTCTTGAAAAGCTCACAGTCACTGAACCTGTAAATAAATCCCCAGCTTTTATATTTTCTGAAAGTTCAGTATCATGTTCAGACTTCATCATTGGACCCTATATCCCGAGCTAGATAAAGCCATTCAACACCCTTTAACTTTACATTCAGCTTAATATTATCTATCCATCGAAGCTTAGGTCCATCAAGTTGTCTTTTCTTTTCATATTTTGGGACCAAAATTTTGTAATGCTTTTCTCATTTCCCATGCATGCTGTATGTTCCATTTGTCCTTTCCTCCATTATTTGATCTCCCTAATAATATTCTGTAATGGGCAAGTGTTAGAAAAGAGTTCAATGTTCTTAGTGGGTCATAGAGCTAAGGTGTAAACAATGAAACAATATTTTGCAAGGAATATAATTTCAGAAGTTATTAATTATGCTCTTTTCTTCATTTTCCTGTACTTCTTTCCCTTGGGTCCAAATTTTCTTCTCAGAACTTTGTTCTGAATTGCCCTCAGTCTAATTAAGTCTGATTTCAGCCCAAATTTATATTTTGTTTAAGGTCTTTCATTCTGGTCCGTCACACTAACCAATTAACAATCAAGTTCCTTCCGTCAAATGTGACACTTTTTTAAGTTTTCCACCTCGTCACCACCTGCCTTACATGTTTCGGCTCACCACGGAGCCATCATCAGAGGCATTTATAGTAGAAAAAGAAATCACCAACACACAAAACTTCACTTTGTCCAAGATAGCCACGTTCCAGTTAATTAAAATAATTACAAATAGTTAAAATTACCCTGAGTAACCCTGACAGACAACACACATCAACAACATCCCGAAGCAAAAAGATTGGGCCAAGCGGGAAAGAATTCTAGGGATTTTAAGAATTCTTACTTCAAATAACGAAACATAATTTTACAGAATTAACGACGAATCAAA